CTACTTTCATTCCAGACCTGCTACTTGAATGGATTATTAGATGTATTAAACAACAGGTTTCTTTGAGCCCTGGCTCACATACAGTATGTGTGGTCCGGTTTGACAGTGCGATTTTAACCCTCTCCGGTGTGACTTTTTTCAGCGATAAGGTGCTAATTGTCAAATTGTATGACATTGGAAATTGCACCTGAACCAGGCTGAATTGCACTGGACTCTTTTCGAAAACGTGCTGCGGCCAGCCCGCACATATATGAACCAGCTCTATTGAAAAGGCTGCAGGTTTACATGTCATGGGAATTGGATGCAGTTCAAAACACATCCAATTCACATATATACTCACCAGCCACTTTATTAGGTACACCTTGCTAATACCGGGTTGGACCCCCTTTTTCCTTCAGACCTGCCTTAATTCTTCATGGCCTAGATAAAACAAAGTGTTAGAAACATTTCTCAGAGGTTTTGGTCCATATTGGCATATGTTACTGTTGCCTTTCTATCATCTCAAACCAGTCTGCCCATTCTCCTCTGACATCAACAATGCATTTTCATCCACACAACTACTACTCATTGGATATTTCCATTTTCTGTAAACCCCAGAGATGGTTTTGCATGATAATCCCAGTAGATCAGCAGTTTTTGAAATCTTTAGACCAGCCTATCTGACCCCAACAACCATGCCATATTCAAAGTCAATTAAATCCCCTTTCTTTCCGATTCTGGTGCTCAGTTTAAACTTCAGCAAGTCATCTTCACCATGTCTCGGTGTCTAAATGCATTGAGTTGCTGCCATGTGATTGGCTGATAATCAATTTGTGTTACCAAGCAATTGAACAGGTGCACCTAATAAAGGGGTCAGTGAGTGTATGTGAACCAGGTCTTATTGTTGAAATCAAGGAAAAGGAATGTAAAACTGAGTTTATTTAAATTTATAGGTATATATCATATTTCGAAGTACATACATTATATGTTCACTTGTCCATGGGGGTTGTAATGGATATGCTACTGTATATACACAAGAATCTACATAAAAATCCAGTTTTGCATACACTGTACAGAAACCTTTGTATTGTTCTTTCATACAATCCTATACCATACATAATCATTTAGAAGATTGAATATTGATGATGATGAAAGTTCTAATTCTGGAGGAAATTTTATTCTAGCACAGACACATTCAAATAAATATGCTTTCCACCAACGAGGGGCCACATTAGGAGTTAGAATTTTTTTCATTCAGATTAAAAGAAAGAAAAATGTTCCATTCATCGCCCTGTATTTTACGTCACTATAGTCAGAAAAATCGATTTGTCGCCATTTATCATTAGAAAATTCAATGAAAGTTTAGAAAACAAAATTTTCTATTACAATTCTGTGTATGGCTAGCTTTAGTAACTGGGAGGTAACAGGCCGGGCAGTTGACCTATTCATTTGTGGGCAGAGGGTGAGACAGCCATTGTCTTTTCTTTTGAAAGCCCAATGTAAAGGTCGCATTGACATTTGCACTTTATATGTATTGTAGTATTGAAGGATTTATTTCACTTGGTGATTAATTTCATATAAAAAAGGTGTGCTATTTCAAAGCACTGCTAAGCACCCGATTGGTGATCAAATCTATTGAACACCATGTTATTTCTCTTGTGTATGCATGTAGTTGATGTCAACTCATTGGGAGTACAAAAGCCCTGTAGTTGTACTTCTAGCATCTTCTCCTTGCTGTCAGTGAGATTAAAGGAAGTGACTGGAGGAAGTAGAGGGCTCAGGACCAACTGTATTAGGAAAGTAGCCATGTTGTCACCCAAGAGTCCTCTGGATCAAAAGCCACACCACCAGAATTTTTTTTATTTCACTCATGGGTGGACTGACAGGGGTGTGCTAAATCACTCACCAGCTTAACAAATGTTTAGAGGACTTCTGTGTGGAGACCTCTCTTTTGAAGTCCTACTCTCAGCCATCATGGGGTCTCACGTTTACTGCTACATCAAGGTAGTCTCACCCCTCTAGCTGCAATGTCCACTATCTCGAGTAAATATGCAACCCAAAGGTGACTGTGAGTCTCCCTCATAGAAAACCCAAGGGTGAGTGTGAGTCTCCCTCATAGGCAAGTCAGCATGCTGAAAATGAAGGTGCAAGTGTTTACCCCTAGAGACCCCATGAGCCCATCACACCAGCCACCATCCAGAACTGAAAGGTGAGTTCTGGATGAACTTAATTCTTCATGCTTACTAACATTGATTCCATGAGAAGAAACAAGCAATGGTGAGCTGTGAGGGATTTGGCAGTGATTAGTAAATGACTAAGTGATTACAGACAGCATATTACGATTAGCTGCGGATGTACCATAAAAAGCACATCTGCCATACTAAAGGGTCCTTTATATGCAACTTAAGTGGCATTGAGTTCTAAGAGCCCCTAAAGTGTCAGCTGTTCCTTTTACTAGGGAATTTTCCCATGAAGACCCCATAAATGGCATATCTCCGGGGACAAATGGAAAGAAGTCGAGGAAACATCGTACTGGGAAAAGAAGCATCTGTAGATATTTTTCTGTTGCCATTTTCATTCCTGATTAGAATTGCTTGAGACACTATACCAAACTGAAAACATATTTGAACACTCCAGAAGACATACATTCATGGTTGCAACAAATGTCTTATTTCTAACAGTTGTGCTATGTCAGTTCTTGTTGGCTGGGGGCTGCCCCTCTAATAAAAATGCCAGACACATAGACTTACTTAACAAGGCAAAGAGTAGCATACAAAGCTCTATAACCCATAGCAACCAACAAACTGTGAACTGATGAATGGTGGACTCTGATTAGTGTGCATGATAAGGCTATCATTTTATAAGTTTAGCAATATAGACACAGAATTTCAAAAGCATGTAATGTGAAAAATGTTAACAAAGAATTGTGCTTTTAGTACAGTTATTCTTTAAATGCCCCCCCTCCCCCGATTAAACAGGGAGAAAGAGAAGTGTCCTCAGAAGATCTCTCTAGAAAGGTGGTGTTTATTAATAGGCCAATGTACAAACATTATTCATTAAAGGGGTTGTAAACCCTTACATATACCCAGTGAAGTGACTGGCCTCAGATAATTAAACAAATCTTTCTACATAATTTGTACCTGTTTATCTGCAGTATCTCTTCTGTACCTCCTTTCAAAGTGCTGAATTTATAAAGCTTGTCTGAGAGTTCAGAAATTAAACACTTCAGAACTCAGTGAGGAGATCTCTGAGAGCTGATTGGAGGGAAGAGGCACACCCCCTCCACACAGCTCACAGGAACAGAGCTGAGGCTGTCAATCTGCTGGAGATGCCTGTCCTGTCACCTTTTTTTCTCTTGGTGTCAGGAAAACTTGTCAGAAGTAATTCATGTTGATAGCTGAGGAATAAAGCAGAAGACATAAATGACTCTTAGTGCCCTTATTTGAGATAAGTATATACTACAGATGGATATGCTTTGCTCATATTTCTTGTCTGAGGTTTCCAACCACTTTAAAGTGGTAGCCTAAAAAACAAAAATGTGCTAGTGGGCAAACTTTTTGGTAGATTGTGGATGGATAAGGGAGAGCACAGAACCGTTATGGGGACTAAGGTCACAATAAAAACCTGACATGGGATCTACCACTCCCGCACTCTTTCCAAAAAGAATGAAGTTGCTGGATTTGGGCTTTAAAGTATATCATAAGCCATTTTTTTTTTTCATTTTAGATAGAATAGGGGAGGGTTAACACACTGTTCTTTGTTTTGTCACCCGTGTCTCAATAGGAAGATTTCCCTTCACATCCTGTCCCATAGGCTTAATAGGAAGTAAGAGAGAGGGTATCCTTCCAATATGAGGGATCTCCTCTTAGATAGTTAATAAAGGAACAAGTATCCCCATTGGAAGATTTCCAGCTGTTCTGGTGGCAACTCAAAATTTTCGATTAGCTATCATTTTAATTCCTGGTAACCAGGACAATTAAAGAGGGAGAAAAACATTGAGAAAAGAACTGCAGGGGCATTATTGAAGCCTATTACCTTAAAACAAGAATCTTCCAATGTGGGATATGGAAGTTTTTATTAGTTTTTATTAAACCCCTGGGATTTTCTGTGGCTGTGAGTTTTTGTATTGTCCCAGATATCTCAGTGACAATGCAACCTTTTATATTCTGTAATGGGTTGTAGATTGTAAGATTCATTATTGTCAGGTTACAGATCACCTTAGTCTTTATGGTAGAAGTGACGTTCGAACACTGGCCATACAAGGAGCGAATTTCATAATGCTAATTTTGGATGGCATCAGCATCCTTCCACCCAACATCCCTTTATTTGAGAATCAAAGGAGCCATGCAGAAAATTGGCATCCGGACAGCGGCTGCATCCAATCAGATGCAGCCACTGTTCAGGAATTCTGACAGCCGTGGGTGTCAACTGTCGGAATACAATAGCCAGAAGGAGAGATCATCCATCCATGCTGTTTCACATGGATAGGGGAATCAAGTGATTTCTTTTGTGTAGTCTGCAGGGCTGAACAAGATAAATCTTATGGTATATGGCCAGGTTAAGGTAGAACAGTGCAATAATATACATTGTCAATAGCATAAATTGTCTAATTATTTTAATTGTGTCTAAACACGCTTGTGTAGGAAATGGGCACTTTTTGGCTGCTGTGATAGAGGGCTGTATTTAATTAAATACAGCTGGCCTGAAGTGTTTGAATAAACACAACATCTTTGTGTGTCTGCAGTTGATACAAGTGTGAATGCTTCCCATGGGCACAGTTTTCACTTCATGATCCTATACAAACATATTGGAACATGACAGGTAATAAATAATACTTGGATGATTAATCAACAGCCAACAAAAGTAGGGGACAGGTTTTTTTTTGTAAAATTAAGATGCTGTTTATCTATTTGAGTTCATGCTTTGAAATATTTATTATAGTGTGAATTAAATTGTATGCTCATTTCCAGTGGCTTGACATTTCTAACAGGTCTCTCATTTTCCTCTCTTGTGTCATTTTCATAGATCGGGTGAATGTAGAGGTTGGCCTCCTGCAGCTCATCGGAGATCCTCCACCAGAACAGATCACTAAAATCTTTGGCCCTGATAAGACTCCCGGCTATGTATTTGGAGAAGATGCCAACACTGGACAGGTGGCACAGTACCACCTTCCTAGCCCCATGTTTAGGGAGTTTTTCTATTTTGTTCCACATACAGCCTACCAATAAGAAGGCCGGAATGCTGTTCTCCATCACAGATGCTTCACAGTCTATTGTGTACATTGGAGTGAAGCTGTCAGAAGTCAAAGATGGTAAGCAGCAGATCATTTTTTATTACACTGAGCCTGGATCAGCAGTGTCCTTCCCTGCCGCCACCTTCAGCATCCCAGCACTGACAAACCAATGGACCCGCTTTGCCCTCAGTGTGGAAGAAGAGGAGGTTACCCTATATATGGAGTGTAATGAACTGAAGAGGGTCCGTTTTGAGAGGTCACCTGATGAGATGGAGCTAGAGGATGGATCTGGGCTTTTTGTGGCTCAGGCTGGAGGGGCTGATCCTGACCGCTATCAGGTAAATGTCTTTTCAGAATAAGGTCATGAGGTGGTCATCTGTTAACATCAAAATTATGTATCGTAGATTACTTGTCAGATTGAACCAGTGGTTGTGTCAGGGTTTTTTATGAGCTAATCATTTGTAGTTAGGAAAGCCAAGAATTCTTGATAAATGGCCATGTTTTTACTATGTGTAGAATGTTCATGTGTTGCATGAAAGAAGCTGATTAATGTTATAGTACTGGATACATTTTTTAACTGCCTGTAGTAATGCTAACATGTATGATGAAAGTTGGGTGGAAGAAATAGTTCAACCATGAGAGCTTCTTTTTTGTAACTGTAAATCAGGCAACTTTGCTGAGCTTTGCATTTCAATTGTACCAAACTGAAAGGACCAGTATTAATTGAAATCAAGCACCTCGAGGTATTTGCATGTTTACCCAAAGATTGCCTGCAGAGAAGAACCCCTAAAACATGGGGTGCACTGTAAAGGTGGCATCAACTATGCAGTGCATCCTTTTACAACCTTTTACAGAGGAACCTTGAATTAATTTTTCATTTCTTGCTAAAATATTACATTTCTAGCTACATTTCTGTGGCCAGTAACTTGTAAATATAATAATACATAAAAAAAAAAGACTGTTATGTGTATAGTACATTTGACACTCAGAGCAGAAAGTTTTTTTTAACACTCCCTGTTTTGTTAGAAAAAAAATATTTCAGTAACAATCATGAAATGGAACAAATAATAAAAAAGTTCAGAAAAGAAACACTGATGGTGAAAACTGTAGTGCCATTTACATTGGTGGTCAATGGAAAGTGCCTTCTTATATTGGTAGTTGATGTAGTGGTCCCATACATTGGTGGCCATTGGGTGAAAGATCTCTTATATGAATGGTCAGAGGGTGAAGGACACTCTTTCATTGTTCACCAGTGGGAAAACGGCCCCCCTTACATATAGTTAAAAAAGATTATTGATATTAGTGGTTATTGGGAGTTCAAAACTCTTACTTGCTCAAGATACCACCTAGCAACTTCTGGAGGAACCTCAGTGTTGACCTGAAACAAACTGAATGGAATGCTTAGGTATGTCTTAATATTACGTTACAGTTTTGCAGTATATCTGAAGGAGATTGTATATTGTATGGCCGGCCCAATGCCAGCCCAATGGCCAGCTTTTGTCTTCTCTGGCCCATTACACCTAATGCCCTTTATCACTGGTCCATCACTCTGATGAAGTGACTTTACCAACCAGTATTAAAATGCATGTAGAAAAAAGGGGATGACCAGATCAGTTGTCCTCAGTAATTAAAATTACTGTATATAGGTGAGGTGGAAGGCCCTGGTCAACTGCATTGTTATGTGGGAGTTGTGCCTAGTTCCTGCATTCCACAAGCTGCTTTTCCCCAAGCTGGGATATAAATTCTTATGCAAGGCAGACTACACATTGACCCCATTTACATTTGGGAAAACAGCAACTCGTAAAGATCAGGGAAAAGTTGCAGAAATTTAAAAAGACAATAATGGAGTTGCTTGTCTTTAAGAGTTGTATTCATTAAAATGTATTTCTTGCCAGAACTTTTTAATTTCTTTGTTTAGATAAATAAACCAAATTTTTTTTTTTTTTTGCAATCTATGCTCCATTGTGGAAAATATATCTTCACTTCCTGTCCTGTTGACAGTGTTGTCACTGTGTAGAATGTGAGAGGAAAACTCCAGTAGGGATGGGAAAAAGCTAAGATTCTAGCCATCCCCCTTCCTACAATTAGAAGTACTTGATTACCTTTTTATCCCTATTTCCACTTAGTGACAACATTGCTAAAAAGAAAACTGACATGTTCTGACCATTCCCTATTCCCTATCCAAAAAAGTTTTTACAAGAGCTACTCTTTTATTATGTAATAGGTCAAACGTCCAAGGTGCTTTAACTGTTATTTAAACACATTAATCTTTTTTTAAAACCAATCTAATATACAGAAAAAAGCATTAATGAAAGTTAAAAAAAATCTTTAAACGTGTGGGTGGGATGGTTATTAGATATCGGTAACACTTGGCAGATATACATCAGTAAGATAATAGCATAATGACTGCGTACTTGATCACAGGCAGAGAAGACTGACATTCACAGACAGTATCTGTATACCCCGGATTCCAAATTCCTTTTATTGTTCCTTCTTCCCTATCATCATTTTCTATTACTGACTGGCTTTCTGTCTTTCTGTCTGCTATGTTGGTTTTCAGACTGTTGTCCTGGGGGTGTACATAGAGCAGATCTGAGTAATATGCTTGGAATCTGCTGTCCGCAGTGTGTGAACAAAGCGGGCGTTTTCTTCCCCTGGAAATTGAGGAGATGCTGAGACAAAGGGGAAATTGAGTGCTGAGAATGGAAGGATATGTGTGTGATAAATGATGATTACTATACGGGAGGGGGGACTAGTGATGGGATGTAGAACAGCTGAAGGAACAACAAGTCGGATGGTTGTGTGTGACTTCATGTTGGGAGATGTCCTTGCCAACAGGATAAAGGAGGTCAGTGTTCCTGCCCTGGCAAGCTGCACAGTACAAAGAGGGTCGGCAAGAACATACAAACCTTGTGGATGCGGCAAGGATGAAATTTATAGGCCTTGATAGATTTAGGAAACATAATAATCCCGCATAATAGCATAAAATAAACCTCAGATAAATAATGTAGTTTTAAAAGTCACTTAAAAAGCTTTTAAGGAAGGATAGTTTTACATATATCTACTTTTCTAATCCTCTCTGTTGCAGTTAGGAAGAGAATTCGTCCTCTTGTAACCACTACATGGGAGAATCTGCCTGCTAGAACATCTATGTGTTGAGGAACCTGTACTGTTGAAGTGGAACTCAACACTTTTCTAGATGACTGTAGATTATTTTAATTTTTAAAAAATTATGTTTATTCAGATTTTCAATTTTTCTTTTCACAAAATTACAAAAGAAGATAATATACAAAATCCTGATACAAAGGAACCAGGCAGGAGACAAAAGCAACAAATGAAAGAACAAATCAACAGAATAACTAAATGGAATGTACACTTCAAGACAATTAAGCAGAGGAAATGTTGTCATTCACAAGTGAGACACGTCATATTCATACATATACAGAGGAAAGCCGAATTCAGGACTGGAGACTTTAACTCCATCCCAAAGTGGCACATATAAGGGTCATAGTAACAGAAAGGAAACTTCACATGGTCAAGAATACATCTACATCAAGCAGATTCCCAAAGATCAGAACAGAGATACTTAATGAGAATCCATGAGGGATAGGGACTTGGACTAACGACTCCTACTCTGTTTGCAGGTGTAAGAGAAAGTCCCCCAGGGTGGGGGGGGGGGGGGGGGGTCATTTCCCATAATAGATGTGGGGTCAGAGACCTTCAAGCGACCTAGGGTATTAGCCAGGTTGGATTTAGCATACCAGGCAGTGTATTGAAATGTGACCATAAGTTGATTTATTTCCCGTTGGGAAAGCGTATGTTCGATAAAGGCCCTCCAACGTGTGAAAAAATGTTTGGTGTAGATTATTATTAATATGCAGGAGTTATATAGCGCCAACAGTTTGCACAGCGCAACAACATGAGAGCATACAGTACAGTTACAATTCAATAAAGGAGAAATCACAGGGCCCTGCTCGTTGGAGCTTACAATCTAAAAGGGATGGTCAAGTGATAAAAGATAATAACTGCTGGGGATGAGCTGATGGAGAAAATAAAAGTACAATTGTTGGGTGGAGGCAGGCAGGATAGGCTGGACTTCTACAAAGGCAGGATAGGCTCTTCTAAAGAGAAGGTCATTCAGAGATAACCTAAAAGTGGACAGAGTAGGAGATAATCAGACAGATTTGGGTAGGGAATTTCAGAGGATGGGAGAGGAGCTGGAGAAGTCCTGCAGGCGAGCATGGGAGGAGGTGAAAAAGAAGCTAGAGAGCAGGAGGTCTTGGGAGGACCGAAGAGAACGGTTTGATTGGTATTTTGAGACAAGGTTAGTGATGAAACTTGGGTCTGAGTTGTGGATGGCTTTATAAGTTATTGTTAGTATTTTTAATTCAATTGTTGGGTGAGCGAAAGTCAGTGGAGGGAATGACAGAGAGTCATAGCAAATACTTGGTAAGGAGGATAAGTCTGGCAGCAGTATTCATGACAGACTGAAAGTGGGATAGCCCATATAAAGGTAAGCCAATGAGAATGGTTGCAGTAGTCCTGGTGAGAGATAACCATGACTTGGGAGCTTTGTGGTCTCATTGATTAAAAAGAGGCGTATTTTGGAGATGTTGCCGAGATTGAGGAGGCAGGCTTTGAACAGTGGTTGGGGGGCTGAAAGGAGAGTTCAGAGCCCAAGATTGCACCTAGCACCCTGTCATGCGGGGATGGGTAGACAGTTCTTGCTGTCGATCTTCACAGAAAAGTCCCAACAAGATATCCAACAAGAGATCGTATCATCTGGTTCTCACATCCACTGACCAACCTCCTGGACATACAGCCCATTTCTGACTTGGCCAGCAAGTACACAAGTGGCTGGTTTTCCATCTTTTCATGGAAAAGTGAATGTTTGATGTCTGTCGGACAGAGGTTTTCAATTGTTTAGACATATGTTTGTGTGACATTGAGCTCTTCTAGCATTCAAAGCTGCTATATATTTAAAATCTAGAATATATATATAAGATATAATAGAAGTCTATTGCTCAGTGCAGCTAACCCGCAGTAAAGCCTTCTTTTCCTCTTCCAGCTTCTGCTGGCATCGCTCTCCATCTCCAGTCTGCTAGAAAGGTCCCAAGTGAAGTGCACTTGGTATCACTCCACCTGGGACAGAACTCAGTGATATAGAGGAAGCATCGACTTATGTGGCTCCTGATCACTCTCTGGCCACCTGCTTCGTCCGATGCTGGCACCAGCTTGATGCACTCTGATGTTCTGGGATGGTGGGTCAGCAAGCCCAATGGAATGCTGACCACGAGCATGCGCTTTCCTGATTTGAGGTCGAGGGCTACATCAAAGG